CTCTCTCTCTCTCTCTCTCTCTCTCTCTCTCTCTCCATCTGTCTGACTGCCATTATTCAACCAAAACTCCACAACAAAATTATGAAAAAATCTAGAATCAAAACAATATTTTACCTGCTTATCTCCCAGTAATCAGGAAAGCATCTATGCAAAAGTCCAGTGAGAATAAAAAATTCCAACTGCCAAGCATCACACTGTACCTTGAAATGACTTGAAATCTCAAGTTACCGTGTGGTAAAACAACCAATCAGAGTGGAGAGTTCAGAATATTTGCGATCACCTGCTGTTTACAACACAGGTGGGTGTCAGCGAATTCCTTATCCCGCTTCTACTGACTGGCTTATAAAAGTACAGCCCCAGCAGGTGATTTCTAAATAAAACACACTCAGCCATATTCTTTTAAAGTTCCCACAATACAATGTTTGCTTGTCATGTACTAAAAAAAATCTTTTTTCCACCTGTGTGTGTGTGTGTGTGTGTGTGTGTGCGTGTGTGTGCGCGCGTGCACCTACACACATATGCATGCATGTTTCGGTGAGCGCCATGCACAATAAACGAGTGGGTGTAAGCCCAAACACATAAACTGTATAAAATTCAATGAAGAACATGAAAATTAAGTTGCCACGCTATAACGTTTCCTTTGAGACAAATTACAAAGCCAGACTGAACAATTACATCCTTGCATTGAATTCCACACGTAATACATCATCCAGTGTAGTACAATGACAGACAGAGAAAAAAGTCTAACACTGGTACAATGACAAAAAGAGAAAAAAGTCTAACAGGACAAAAACCAGGATAACCGTCTGCTTAATCAGTGCATGTGTACTTAAATCATTTTGCTCCCCTTTACAATTATAACCCAACTTGAGAAGACCCCCTTTTTTCTCATCATTTAATTGTTTCAAGATTTTTGGATAGCTACTCACATAAGATTTGTGCTTAAATTTTCTTACCAAAAATTAGCATCCACCTTTTTCAATTGTTTAAGAAAAATGTTAAAAATAAATGTTTTTTAAAAAGCATTTTTCAAAATAAATTTACCATACTCAATTCAGATGTTTACAAGAAACCTAATTTACAGATTTCTAGTGAGCTTTTTACCACTTTATATTGAATTCTTTGCCCAGCCCTGCCCAACACAAACATTTTTCACTCGCGAATTACTTGAACTGTGTCAACCAAGAGCTTGAACTACACGGATCCGGTGTCAGAATTTTTTCATCAAACACCGCTCGAGTAACCAGTAAACGTTTTCCCACACAAAAAAGTCTCTGTGACGCTGCGCCAAAGCCGATCATCCTGAGCCAGGTGTAAGCCATCTCATGTGTCCGTCTTATGTTCCCTTTACACTAGGTTATAACTTTTATGCACTGTACGACAAAGAACGAGAAATTAAATGCGACATGCTCAAGAGAAGGTAATTGAGAGAGAGAGAGAGAGAGAAGGAGAAGAGGGAAGGAGAAAAGGAGAGAGAAAAAGATAGAGCAAGAGGTGGGGCCAAATGAAAATGTAACGTGCAATTCAGCACTTTCTCCATTAGCACAAACTGCTGAGTAAAAGGTAAGGTACTCCAAAGGCTTCATCAATGAGGAAATAAAAACTTGTGAAAAGTAAATTCCACAGTGAGAGGCTTATTTTCAAGACAGCTGTCAAATTTGCAACTCAATTTAGAAAGACAGGAAAGAGGAAACGAGCTGCTTTGCTAGCCCATATTTTCAAAAGTTTCCTGTGTAGGAGTGACCTGAAAGGACCTCCAAGTCCCAAGGACTTGCTTGGACTGCTTCTAAACCCAAGACCCCTTCTGCATAAAAATAGAGTTCAATTCATTCACCTGGGATAGTGTGTGAGGTTTCTCTCTCTCTCTCTCTCTCTCTCTCTCTCTCTCTCTCTCTCTCTCTCTCTCTGCATGTATGTGTGTGAAAGAGAGAGAAAGAGAAAGGGAATTTAACTTCTTCATTTCCTGGTGACATGTTTCACACCTGAAACTGTTTATTCTAAAACCGGTCCGTTACATGGCCTGTGCCAAAAATGCATGCTGAGTCTAAATTAAAGATTTTATCAGGTAAAATTAAAGTCTTCCATTTACCATAAAAAATGATTTAAAAGCCCCATAGCTCCTGGCCGTACAAGGGGAGAGGAGTGACACGGGGACAGGGGGGATGAATGTATTCCCAAGAAACATTAAGTTAATTGACCGATGACAGGTCACTGTGCCTTGCTGTTGACCTTGTGGTTGACCTTGAGAGGATACCAGTGAGAGGGACCCTGTGAGAGGGGTACCTGTTACGAGGTAGAAAATTTCAACTATCTGCTCATTTTCTTTTTTCTGGCTTACTTCTACGACAAGTAAATTGGTCTGGATTATTGTCCTGACTATGACTAACACATTCTTTTCTATATAAATTAATTCTTCTTTTAGTAATTTGATATTGCTTAGTCTCTAACAGCCCTAGAGTCTTTATTACCAGGACATCAAGTCACGAACTTATCAAAATTTGACATGTGTATCGCCTGTCTACATGCTTGTCAGGGTGATGCACCTGGGGATTATAGCGATATCCCACTGTCACCTAGATGTCACCGTGTCTTATCTGTCACCATGTCACACCTTCGTCACCAGATCATGTCACACCTGGACACCATAGTGTTACCTGTTAAAGATGATGTCACAAGGTCACATAATGCCCTCTCTCTGACATTCACACGAACATATCAACATAACATCTGTGAAACACCTGTCTCCATGCTTTTCAGTGTGACACACCTGAGGATTATGGTGTCACCCCACTGTCCGCATGTCACCTAGTTGTCACTGTGTCACGTCTGTCACCATGTCACACCTGGATGGCATCGTGTTAAAGATCATGGCACCAGGTCATGTCCAGACAATGACATTCACATTGGCTGGAGCCCAAATGCAAGTTGAAATGCCAATAAAACTGAAGCTGGGTCAGAAAATTTTATAATTTTTTTCATTCATGGAACATGTTTTTTTCCCCATTATCCACTAGATTCTCATCTAAGACCCTTCGGGGAAGTAGGTTTAGTAGGCTACAAAACATCTTTGTCACAGACTTCACATCACCGCACAACCAAGTGTCACCATAACACCTGCTATCAACAAGTCTCACCTGTTGTTACAGCGGTCCTCAGTAGTTTGCAGATAACCAGTAATGTCGCTAGTGCAATCGCAGCTTGACCCTTTTACCACTGTATAGGCGTACCTGAAAGTACAGTAGACAAAAATGTGGTAATACTTTGAGTCAATACCTGTATTTACATGGTAGGATACATGTACTCCCCTGAGTGTCAGAGAAACGTAAAAGCTAGCTTGCTAAATATACCTCGTGGTGGAGTCGCTTTTGTTGATATGGGTTATATATGAAATCAAGATCGAGCTGGCAATACCGGAATCTAGAACCTAGGGTAGATACATGTGGACTGTTAAAGGAATTTTGGGGCTCACTATCATATTACACCAGATGTAATTATTGTTAAGATTTTAAATTTTATTCGAAAGCAAAGAATTCTGAGAAAAATATCACTTTTATCTTCTTAGGTGTTCAGCTTCACGTTTCATTTTGATGAGTGTTCTGGCAGCTGAATTGTTTCTGTACAAAGTCTGGTGTCATCCTAAGTTTTAGAGCAGTTTATTTAAATAGTGTTATTTAACAATTCATCACGAGCCACAAACAAACTTTGTTTGATAAACAAGCACTATTAAAGGTACTGTCTTGAAGATGGACTCTCTCTGTAAAAATCTGTTATAAATCACCAATTATAATTTTTGCTTCAGTTTGGTATATGTCAGTCTCTTTCTGGTTACCATGGATCACAAATAAATGCCAAATGTTTCTGCTGTTGTTTTAACTGTTCAGAAGTTGCCATTGATTTCTGCACGTTTAAAAATATACCCAAGTTGCCTGTCTGGTGTAATTACGCTGACATGTACTTGCAACTGGGCACAACATACTAAAATAGTAACGCATAATGTCCTAGTTGGGGCACCTAAAACTCTGACAGCTGAAATAAAAGATTGATCAGTTTTTGCCGTGAAAATATATTCCCTAAGAGGATTCAGGAAGTGTACATTTCTGTCCTTTCTATTTTTTAAATCACTCTACCAAAATGAGATGGAACCTTTAAAAAATATTTTTTTGGTTTTTATTAACAAAACTAGAATATCTTATATACCATTTTTCCAAGATCTTATCACAAGTAATAGGAGTATGGCTCAGAACTGCCTTCCGTGCTTACATCTGCAAACCAAATGATGTATTCAAGTAGACAGGTGGGCACCAGATGAGAAGCACCAACATAATTCTAAAAATATACATCAAGCGTTCAAAAAAGGGAAAAAACAAAATCTGGAGAATCTTACCCTGTTACTAAGCACTGCCGGCTGCAATCTGAAGGAGACACTGGCAGCGAATCATTCCTGGGAAGAACTAGGACATCACTTGTAGTTGTTGTTCCATTGCCATGGAAACAACCCTGGTACCATGGCAACCCTGGAAAACAAACATGCACTGGTTGGAAGGAATTCAGAGCTTTGAACGTACTCAATGAGGCATTTTAAGATTGATGGATAGACTAAAGCAGGGATGGCTAAATGAGGCATAAAAGAGAAAAAATAACTAGAACAGGGAGAAAGCCATTTTGGGCCAATTTGGCTGTTGCTGTTGCATATATTTCAATGACAATTAAAAAATATCACCAGCTCCAAATTGCATGTAAAATGTACATCAGTTAACTTCTTAAATTTAAAGAGTTAAGTTTTACTATGTAAAATTAAATGCATCCACTTCGGTCACTAGAGATTGGGGTGAAAATAAATAGACAAATGTTTCTGCATATATAATTTGACTGAATTTCATGAACATGTTTTTCTTCAAAGAGAAATCAGTCTAAGTAGGATTTTTTAATGTCACTACTCAAATGAAAGTCTACATGCAAGGCGTAAGGTGTCTTAGCAGACATATTTTTTTCAAAATCTCTTTCTCTCTCTGTGCGTGCGCACGCGTGCATGAATGTATATATTTGTAACTAATGCTACAAATGTCCTGAATTTACTTCTTGAATTTAATACTTACAAAAAACCATCATTTATACAAAAATGACGTCAAAAGAAATTTAAGCCCTCTACTTTTTCGAGCACATTCTTTTTAATAGTGCAGGTGGCCAAGAAAGACTCCACTTTCAATGAGGTAGCTAAGTGCAATAGTCATGGTATATGTCATCTCAGAAAGGAGTTCTCATCAAGTGCCCACCAGTAATTAATATCAATATAATAATTAATATATATATTATTTCCTTTTTTTGCTGGACTTGCCAAGACATTATATTTTTTTTTATTGAAACTACTTTTTCTGATACAATTATTCAAACACTCCTTCCTTCATAAAGATGTATCAGTGAAATAAAGTCTGACTCAATTTGATGGCCAGCAAAAAGGTATATATACTTTAAATGCCTTTAAAAATATGCAGGAAATAGTTAAAAGAAATAAAATTCTATTCACTCAAGACTACTTATCTGCAATATTCTTCATCATAAATCAATACCTGTAATTTTTACAAATAATAAATGACCCAATTCTCAGAAAACAAACAGACCACACTGGCCATAAATTTTAATTTTTCAATAAAATCCATACCTGCTTACTTTGACCTCTGCATAAAAACATTTTTTTCCCAAACTGAAATTCCTTTGGGAAATAAATCTCTACCAGCTCACCATTTAGTCCATCAGTCAAACTTCTCTGATCACTGGTATGAAGAGTGAGACCTACTGGTAGTTTTCAACCTTAAACACTCATGACCTTTTGACCTCAGCATACTTTTTTTCTGCATAAAACTCATAAAAATACCTAGCAGAAGTGGAGCCTGCAGTTCCTCCGGTTATTGCCCTCCTGTTCAACCCAATGCCCTTTACATAAAACAGCTGAAACAGAGGCGATGACCCAAGTTCGGATTTCAATTGTCAAACACAAGAGAAGTTTCACAAGGGGACCGTTTCCCCATCAGTGAAACTTGAAACAAGGTGTCTTTTCTTTGAAAAGGCAATGCAGCTGAGTAAATGTCAGAATAAAAGAATCTCTTCTGCAGGACCTGGCACAGAGAAGGGAGTTTGTAAACAACAGAAAAATGGGTCAAGCTGAAGCCCAACAACTTGCAAAAAGCTCCACTCTTTTCAGTTAGCTTACTGTATGCCTTCTCATCTCTCTCTCTCTCTCTCTCTCTCTCTCTATTCCTCAATCTATCCATCCAACCAACTACAATTTTCAAAACTCTTAATTTCCCAACCTGACATTACATAAACATTTTTCTTTTGTGAGTAGCATAAATTCAGTAACAGAGAACACACCTACCTTAATGACATATATATATTTAAAACAGCAAAGTCCTTAATACACTGCCATAAATAGCAAGTAGCGAACTTGTGGAGAAATGAAAAGGGAGATTAGTACCTTTGTAAAGTCACGTCCTATAGAACCTCTCGAACCATATCCGCACAGCTGTATCATTAATATATATACTATGTGATGTGAAAAGACTTCGTTTTCAAATAGATGTTATATAAATATATAAAACCTCAATTTCTACTTCCTCTTTTTTCACAAAAAAAAAAGAAAAGAAAACAGTCACAACAAACATCTACAGATTCCCAGTAGATGATCAAGAATCATTTTCATTTCCAGGAAATAAACAAAAAAAATTAGCTAGTATGTTATTTGCAAAGAACTCTTTTTCTTAGAAAATTACACAAGAAAGAAAAACAATGATAGAATGTTGCCACAAGCAATATCACATGACCAAATACGCTTCATTTTCAGGAAAGGGTACTAGGATCCATTGGCCGCATTCAGAACCGTGGACTAACTAGACCGAGGGTCAAAAATGGCCAACCCACTTGAATACTTTCCACCGGGAATCTATTCAGTGTCTATTAACGGATTAGATGGCAAGCTTTTTAGTGGGTCACCATATTTGACCCGCGGTCTAGTTAGTCCACAGTTCTGAATGCGGCCCTTCATTCTAGAAAAGAGATGTGATGCATTATCTGACCAACAATCCATTATATCATAAAGTAAAGCCATCGATCAGAAGGTAAAATTCATTAAATAACTATTGTTTGTCTGCTTTTTTCTCTCTTGTCATCAATCTGTTTGAAACAGTGTAGAATACATAGAAATTGAACAAAGTTAGCTGCTTTCCTTTGAACTAGCACTTGTTAATTTATTTCATTCATACAACATGACACCCGCCTGTATATGCTCGTGCGATTCATAAAAGCTTTTCTTTTTCTTTGTCAGAAACTACTCACAGTCAAAATCCAATTTCCATTTAGCAGTATTGTAAAGCACTTGATTACAAGTTTTTAGGTGATCAGGTTTCTGATAACACAAACACATTGAGAGAGAGAGAGAGAGAGAGAGAGAGAGAGAGAGAGAGGTGTTGGACTTAAATCTAAGATGCAAGAAGCTTGTTTAGTTGAGAATTAAGATATACTAGTGTAAGAGTATTCTATTCAACAGCACCATAGATTTCAGTTTTAAAGAGGCCAGGATCACAGCAAATTATAAAATTTGTATAATAAAATAAGCAGGTATCTGGGCTAAGGGGAGATATACATACAAGTTGTATGTTGTCTTTGTTGTGATTCAGTTCCACATCTCTATATACAGTTTCTATGTCCACTGAAGACAGTAAACACTGCTGGGGTCATGTCGATACTCCCCCACACCGATACTCCCCCGCAACATTACTCCCCTCCCCCCATCCAATAACCCCCCTTAGTAAATTTTTGTGTATTATGCCCATCGATACGACCCCACACCAATAGCTCCCCGCATCGGTACATCCCCAGTAAAATTGCTGATGTAGGCACACCGATACTCCCCCACATCATTGCTTCCCCTCATGGATACTGTGGGGGAGTATCTGTGTGGAGGAGTATTGGTGGTGGGATGTAACCACAACAACAACAGTGACACAATTACCACCTTCAATCTTCTGCCTTTAAATCCCATGAGGTGACTAGCTATACAGGAGTGGTATTGTATATGTGATATTTCCAGTGATAAAAATGTGCAGGTAAAACACAATGGTTTCTAAGCAGTGGTTTAACAGTTGACGTATCCATGCCTGCATGTGTACCTCATTCTTTCATAGTTTAATGTACAAACATAATTTGAATTTGACTGGTAATAAGCTTGCATGTGTGCGTGTGCATGTGTGTGTGTGAGATGTGTTTGTGTGGGGGAGGGCAGGTGTGTGACAGGGTGAGGGAAGGGGGGGGAGAAAACTTCCCCAATATGCTTGACCACTGAATTAGATTTTTAAACAGAGCTAAACAGCCAGCAAGTTATAGTTCACATTCACCCTTGACTATCAAAACCATAATGGTACGGTACCACAAACAAACATCAGTCCAAAATCTTCAGAGTTTTATTTTATCTTTATTTCTTAACCTGCGCTGAGGCTGCAGCATTATGTGAATGGTCACCGGCCTTAATGTGGGTCCAGTAGTTTATCGCCTTCCTTTGTCTGCATAACCCCTGTTCAGTCATTTTATTATTTTAAAGTCGACGAAAAAATATTGAGTTAATTGTGGTTAAACTAATGAAATACCAACATATTTATGTTGATGTGAAATATTCACTGACAGAAACACACACACACACACGTGTTGAATGAAATCAACAACTCGTTTTCAAATGTAATCCTTGAAAAAAAATAGGGTCGTTTTTTCTTCAACTCACCTGAAATTCCACTTATGCAGATGAGAAATAGATAGAATGTTTCACCCTGCTTCATCTTCTATTGTAGTTGGGATTCAAATCTACTTCCATCCTCTTTAAATCTCAGAAAAGTTTCGTTGTAAATAGTTACTATCACACATTCTTGTTCGCCGCCATGTTGTATTTGTTCATTTTGACCTTTGGGGGAACGAAGCAGAAAGCCGTTGTATTTAACAAAAATAATTCAGATAGATTGCCAATGAACAAGTTTATGTTGATATGATAAACAACTTAAATATTTTAATTCATGAAAATAAAGATTATGTATCGAGTTATAGATGCAGAAATGATAGTTTTTTTCCAAAGAAAATGAAATAAAAGGATGTTGATAGGCCTATCTTTACCCGCAAGCTCTCCCTAAAATTGTCTTCCTATTGGAAATAGTCCCATTGATGCAGTTTATTCATGCGTGTTTGCTATTGTGCCGAAGCACGCATTTAAGCTGGTTATACCCCCTTTACACTGGACGGCGTCCTTTCTGCGTCCTCTCTACGACCATGAAATTTGGCATCGCTGTGGTCTTAATAAGGAGGGACGAGCATTAATTTTGTATCAGAATGAATGCTCAATGATCGGCCAGTTGTCGGCACGTAAAATATTATAATTTTTAAACTCTCAAATGGGGCCGGATTGCTGGACGCAGAAAGGACGCCGTCCAGTGTAAAGGGGCTTTTAACTGCACGCTAGGCGGGGATGTCAAGTCTTGTAACAATAAGAAAATGTGACTGTGGAGACGACAATTGTTGCAGAAGTTACGAGGTATAGAGGGGAACAAAATAAAGTCATAGAAATAACGCAAAATTACCTATATTCCGTTTTTAAAAGTAACGTACTCCCCAAATTAAAGTCCAATAAAATATTATTTAACAAATATGGATCTGAAATATGACATGTGAACTCGTTAAGATACGCATTTTAGTCAATATTGTTTTTTTTTTTTTTATTCTTATTTATCTTTGTTTATTTATTTATTTATTTATTTATTTATTTATTTATTTATTTATTTATTTATTTTTACGGGCCCTTTACTGCGGGACGCAGAAAGGACGCTGTCCAGTATAAAGGGGACTTAAGCAAATATATAATGATTTCAGATAAACTGAAAACGAACGCACTCAAAACAAAGTGAAAAAGCTTCAGCAAGGCGAGCACACACGAAAACAGCTCGAGGAGGCATGGCATGTCAGTTTATCTGCTGCATTCAGCGAGAGTCCCAGTGGAGTTGGATTGATCCACGTAGTACGATAATTTCACTGGGAACGCGCCCTAAGGGCCCATAATATAAGGTCTGAAAGTAGCTATGGCAGTTTTAAAGTCTCTCTAAAAGCTAACAGTTTAAAACGTTTCTTTATGATGAATGTTTTTAAACTATTAAAGTAATTCTGTATTTTAGTGCTGTAATTCTTATTTTTAAAAAATATGTTCATTGTGAAATGTTCTGAAAATGGAAAATGCCATACTAGAAATTATTATTATTATTATTATTATTATGAAAGCCGGATATTTTAAATACAAAACGAACCGATACATTTTTGGTGATGGCGCAGCCGATTGTGTCTCAGATCACAACAAAGGCAATACAATTCTACGCCAACCCTACAGGAACAAATAACCCAGAACATGACAGTGGCGGATTTAGAGGGGGGGGGGGGGGTCAGGGGGAGGGGTCCTGACCCCCCCCCCCCTTCGGTTTCTGAAAAATATAGGCCTATCAGACCAATATTCCCTTCTTGAAATTAGAAATTATATAAGACTATGAGAAATTTGAGATGATATGATTCATACATCATTGACGTCTCGCGTCATTGTTTGCGTTTAAAACCCGACCTCTAATTCCATGAATGGCGAACCTGGGCTTGATGCTTAAAATTTAATTTTAGTCAGCAGGCCAATTCCCCTAACTGAGCAAAATGTATCGTAGCATGGCAGTAGACATTACTGATTTTTTTTTTTTTTTTTTTTTTTTTTTTGGGGGGGGGGGGTGAAGAGAGACACCAATACTGATTTTCAAGAATAATTTTCACATAGGGTAAACAGATGTAACAGGAATGGAAGTCCAGGCTCCCATATAATTGGTACAGGTTAGAGTTAATTGGAGTATTGGGGTTAGTATATGGACGAATGTCACAGGTACAAAGTAATGGGAAGCGGACTACGGTTACTAGCGGACTCCCATTCCTGTTACACCTGGGCTACATGTGTAATAGGCCAAGTTAGACCCTTTTGGTCTTTTGGCCTCATAGAGTATCGTATGTGACATCAAATATTTGCACGACTTTGAGCATATGAAGGTATCACCACCGGGTTTACTGAACATTCGTGAACAGTTTCAGTAACAACCCCTCACCTAAAATGAGCTATACCTGTTGTTATTTGCATAACAACAAGTTGTTCATCATATGTAGTGCGTGCTGTCTTCCCGATTGCTCACTTGGCAGTTAGACAGAGTCGGGTGTAGACGCAACAGTATGTGTGGTGCAGTCAGAAGGTCGAGCTTTTATAAGGCATGGAAGCAAATGTATATTTGTGAGTATCACTATTTCTTCATCAACCACAGTCATTAAATAGTAAAGGTGCAGAAGTATAAGGAAAATATTTCCGACAAATATTTATGACATGAATCCTTTTAAAATATTTCCATTGTTACTTGTATGTCAGAATGGTAGAAATTATTGCTTACAGTGCATTGGGACTCCAAATGTTCAGGACAAACGGGCATTCATCTGACTTTTGGTGATAACCTAAGTTTGCTTGAAATCCTCTGCACTTTATAACCCTCTATTTGAACATTTTGTGTGCCCAGGCCTTGACAATTAATTTTGAATATTTTGACCTAATTTAAAACGTTGTGTGTGTTTAAATGTAAGTATTACCACCATTTATCACCACAAATTAATTAATTAGATGATGCTTGTCACCGTTCTGAGCTTCTCGTCCAAGGATTTCGAGTGCTCAATGCACAATGATTGACAGATACATATTTTACACAGCCTGTCGTCTCCATTGTGCCATGTGTTGTCCATCCATTACACGGTTCACTGAATGAAAACTTACTATATATGTGCAATATATTTGTTATAATTTTCAAATAGAATTTGTAAATGATCTCTTTCTCCGAAATGCGTCAACATGTACTACAACACGTCTTATAACTTTTAACTTAAGCTTTTAATATCAAGAGGAATATATTAACGGTCGTAGCAATAACCTCACCCACCCTGCAAATGAGACGGGCTGTGCTATCTATGTTACTTTTTAACAAGAGGCCTCAAATAGTTATATCATTAATTAATTCCAGATCATAATTTGGTTTTGCGCTAGCTGAACCTGAACATCAGACTAGTTAATAAACGTGCACGCCATTCCATTTAGGCCTATATGTGCCCTGGCCTCTGCCCTGCNCGGGCTGTGCTATCTATGTTACTTTTTAACAAGAGGCCTCAAATAGTTATATCATTAATTAATTCCAGATCATAATTTTGGTTTTGCGCTAGCTGAACCTGAACATCAGACTAGTTAAATAAACGTGCACGCCATTCCATTTAGGCCTACATGTGCCCTGGCCTCTGCCCTGAGATATTACATGCATTATTAGAATGTAAAGAGCCTGTCTGTTTAGTTCAAAGTTGCAAACATTATTTTATCTTTTCAGGAACTCAACGAGATTCTGCACAGCATCCGCCTGAAAGCAGCCTATGAAGTGATACACACAGGAACCCACGCCCCTTCGTACATCATGTCTATTATATGAAAACTCAATAAAAAAACTTTTGTAATTTGGCGTTTTATTTTTCACTTTGTTATGAAATTATTGTATTAAGGATAGTAGTTATGATAATGGAAAATGAGTTATTTTTAGTGTTTGAGAACTTTCAAATTCAATCTGAACTGTAAATACGTATTGTCAATGTTTTTGTGGTTTACGGTTTTATCTGGTACCTAAATTTTAAATAGTTGTAAAATAACCAATATTTTCTAAATAACCCCTCCAAGCTGTTTTAGCGCACTGAAATAAAATATCTAAAATGGTTTCCAACAACCTACATTTTATAGTTCAAATTTATATAAATTTACAATCCTGATTTCGTGATTCACGTGAGATTTTTGTTCTATAGCATATGGAACTAATTTGTTTGGATATAATTTCTCCTATATTTTCTTGTATAGGGAGGGTACCATTTTGATGGGTTTTGGCCTTTGCTATCGTGAATTGTTCTAATTTGGCGGCCTATTCTTAGTGTAAACACTTAATTTGATATTTGAACGTAATAATGAAAAGATGGGGTGATTCTAATAGAAGCTTAAATCAAGTTTTTTTTTAATGGATACGGCTGAAATTGGCTAAAAATTTGATTTCTGAGGGTAAATGGAGCAATTTCTTCAAAACCTGTTATCTGAACCAAATGGAATTAATTACAAGACTCGCCCCACCTGTCACCCCTTTTTATGCAATGGACTCACTCACCTGTCATCCCTCTAATGCAATGTACCTGCCCCACCTGTCACCCCTCTAATACAATGGACCTGCCCTACCACCTGTCACCCCTCTCATGCAATGGACTCGCCCCACCTGTCACCCCTTTTTATGCAATGGACTCGCCCCACCTGTCACCCCTTTTATGCAATGAACTCGCTCCACCTGCCACCCCTCTAATGAAATGGAATTGCCCCACATAACCCCCCTTTTATTTGGAATGGAGTCGCCCCATCTGACATCACTTAGATTGAGAGGATTTTATCCGCTAAACCCCTTCAATTCAGATGACTGTGGCGTACTATTCAACCTTTTGCTTCAGTCAAGTCGTCACTGCTAAACTGTTTCACTAATCCTGTATTAGCTGACCTTGTAAGCAATTTATTAGAATGACTTTTCTAAAATGAAGGTAAAACAATCATTTAATTCATCACAAACGCCAACCAACTATCAGGATTACTTGAAAAGACCTTTTTAATAATTTTGATTAACCTTATTACATAATTGAAGTCCATTCTTGAAAGAAAAAAAAAAAAAAAGCTTTTCATCATATCGGTAATTTCGGGTTGGTACCGACTGCCCGAGGGTACTTAATTCATCATCGCTCTAGTCGCCGACTAACCCCAACCCCAATTTGTAATATCAGCCACTAAGTGTAGTTAAGACAGCGTATGATGCAGGCTTGATGCCCAACGTTATACCAACAGCGAATGGCGCTACTACTGCTTGCTATAGTGGTAAATATAAACGACACATATTTATTTTTATAACCTTGTTAGAACGTTTTAATACTAGATGTGATGATAAAAGTTGTGCAAATTGTAGTGATGCAAAATATGAAATTCTTTGTTCATGTGTTTTTGGCAAAATTAACAAAAATGTAGGCCTATAATTTGTAAATTTCATCAAAATATATGAGCGTTAATAGTACTTGCTGGCAACGTTCCTCGGATCATTGATGATGGCAGTACTAGTGGCAGTGTAGAACGTTAGAATAACGTTCTTTTACACTTGCTGGTCTAACCAATATATAACCCTGTTATCAAAACGTTCTGTGTAAGCTAGGCATACGCTACCTTCATTATTTTGCACATGTTAAAAATATTTATTAACAAGAGATCTAATATCTGTGAAATCAAACTCAAATGGCACTAAATGGATTTTTTTTATTGATGATAACAAATAATGAGATATTGTTTTAAAAGTAACTACAAAAATTTCAACTTTAAAGGTTCACTTCATGGGTCTGAAAATTCCCCCAAACGCGATACACAGCAGTAGCAGATTAGGGGGTGTCAAGGGGGTCCTGACCCCCCCCCCCCCTTCAATTACTGAAAAAAAATCACACCAATGGTCCCACTCTTGCAACTAAAATTTTGACTAGCTGAATCATAGTTCAAAACGGTACCAAATTGCACCGATCGCCCTATTAATTACTAAAAATTTCGTGGCCCTTCAGCAGGCCCCGAACCCCACGCCAAGGGGGGGGGGGGTGTAAGGGGGTAAATAATACTGGAACCACCCCTGCCTGATGTTAGGTTAGTTGATCCGTTAGCTCAACGAATTAACGCCTTGGTTAGGTTGTTACACCGATGTACGGATAGGTCAAAGGTCAGAAATTAGTACAGTAGAAGTAATAAAAAGAGTACACGGTTCCTATGGGCCATGGTACGAAATGTCCCCCGGCCTCCGCTTTTCAACAACATCGACGGTTTTTGCTTGTTCTTTTCAATATTCTAAGGTATGGTTTGTGGCACTAATGCCATTTTTAGGACTGCTAATTCGCAAAGCATTGTACCTCTAGTAGAGACTAGCCACTTTCAATATGTTTCTGCCTGCACGGTGTCTATGATTCTTTACCGCAATAAAAACCAACAAAATCAACACGGTTATCTCAACGACATGCTGATAACGAGTGCGACCCAGGTGACTATTTTCTCATTTACGACTACTTAAATTTAACTCCTCGATTTACGGGCTCTCTTTTTACATTTTTTAAAAATTAATTTGAGTTTTTTTTTTCAGAAGAAATATGACTGTTAAAGAAAGCTGTCTGTTCTTTGTGTACTCCCCCCCCCCCCCCAAAAAAAAAAAAGCCATGTTGTAATATAGGTTAAAGGACTCTGTGTTTATAGCAACAAAAACTCTTGAGTGTAAAAATGTATTTATATTATCATAGAATGTTATGATATTATGTAGTTATCGGGCGAGAGCTGCAGGACGTGTTAAACAGAAAAATGTTGTCACTCTCTTTAGACTGTGAGTATTTGTCCTTGAACGGCTGAGGGCTGCAGTAGATAACGTTAACGCCATTGGTCTCACAACATTTTATCTTTAACATGGCGGTGATAGAATGGGTTTTACGGGAGATCTTAACATCCCCCACAACTTTATTTATTATCGTGGTAGCAACGATCCTTTTTCACGTATTTCTCAAAGAGGCCAAATTTGGCCAGAAGTTCCCATCTGGTCCATGGGGACTGCCTTTTGTCGGTGTGTTGCCGTTCCTCGGCGAACATCCCGAAATAACCATGATGGAATGGGCGAAGAAGTACGGCAAGGTGTTCAGCGTCCGAATGGGTCCTGAAACGGTCATTATGCTGCAAGGGTACGAAGCGGTCAGGGACGCCTTTTCCAGGAAAGCTGCGGTTTTTTCAGGAAGGCCCCACATTCCAGTTTTTGATATTATGAATGACAGAGGTGATGTCAATTTATTTATTTATTCACATCATATGCCATGTCACCCTTATCAATACATGCCTTCTTCTTCGAGCAAAATTAGCACTATAATTCATACTTTTGATGATTATTATTATTTAGTATATTGCCTGTATACAGTATGATACGTGTCGTCGATCAATACCTTATTTCCTCTACCGACTAAATAAACTGAATAAAATCGGCAAAATACTCTGAAAATACAGCATTGGTCAAAAAGGTTGTCCCACCCCCATTTCCATGTACTTTTATTTACAAATGATACGCCTCACAGCTGTGAACTGTTAGAAATAGTGCTTTTTATCACGGATACCGTGTCTAACATGATTAATGGTTAAAAAAATACAAAATAGTGGTGAAAATATACATATTTTATACCATTTAGTAAAATTTATAAGAGGTACCCCCTCAAANGGTGTACCTCCCCCCCCCAAAAAAAAAAGCCCTGTTGTAATATAGGTTAAAGGACTCTGTGTTTATAGCAACATAATCTCTTGAGTGTAAAAATGTATTTATATGATGTGGTTATCGGGCGAGAGCTGCAGGACGTGTTAAACAGAAAAATGTTGTCACTCTCTTTAGACTGTGAGTATTTGTCCTTGAACGGCTGAGGGCTGCAGTAGATAACGTTAACGCCATTGGTCTCACAACATTTTATCTTTAACATGGCGGTGATAGAACATCCCCCACAACTTTATTTATTATCGTGGTAGCAACGATCCTTTTTCACGTATTTCTCAAAGAGGCCAAGTATGGCCAGAATTTCCCGTCTGGTCCATGGGGTTTGCCTTTTGTCGGTGTGTTGCCGTTTCTCGGCGACCATCCCGAAATAACCATGATGGAATGGGCGAAGAAGTACGGCAAGGTGTTCAGCGTCCGAATGGGTCCTGAAACGGTCATTATGCTGCAAGGGTACGAAGCGGTCATGGACGCCTTTTCCAGGAAAGCTACGGTTTTTTCAGGAAGGCCCCACATTCCAGTTTTTGATATCATGAATGATAGAGGTGATGTCAACTCATTTTTTATCTATTTATTTATTTATTTATTTATTTATTTATTTATTTATTTATTCTTTGATGTCTGTATATTATATGCCATGTCACGGCTATCAATACATGCCGTCGATCGATACTTTATTTCCTCTACCGACTAAAAAAACTGAATAAGAACGGCAAAATACTCTGAAAATATGAATGGTGTAAAGTATAATTTTGCTTTATTTATATCATAATAAACAAAAAAAAAAACTTGTGTGATTACTATCTGTCTAGTCTAGATTATACTGTCTAGTCTAAAAACTAGATTTAGATATCTGTGGCAACTACTTTTATAATCTAAGATATTCAGCGAATAAATAAAATAATTACTTCGCCTTTTTTTATTTTTCATTTCTTTAGGTCTGGTAGTTTTGGACTATGGGCCTGCTTTCACGGCACAAAGGCAATTCACAATGCAATACATTGCCCACGCCAACAACGAGAAACACATAGATGGTGAGGTGGACGCCCTCTTGCGGTATATTCGAGAACAACGTGGAGAGCCATTCCAGTTCAACTTCCCGATGAAGGCGACCACCTCTAATGTTATCGGCACTGTCCTGTTTGGAAGTCGCCAAGAATACGACGATCCCGTCTTTAAGCGTCTCCTGCAAGTCTTCCAAAAAGCCATGTTATTGAGCGGCCAGCTGAGCATCAGGCAATTTCTACCTTTTTTATCTTTTATTCCCTCAGTTGATGAAAGAAAAGCCGCATGGGGGGAGTTTTCGGACATCCTCAACGAAAAGTTGGTTGAGCACAGAGCCACTTACAGAGAGGGGACAACTCGGGGGTTTATAGATGCGTTCATTCACAAGGTAGGTTTTTAAAGATAAACTTTATATATCCATCCGATTTGCATTTCACTTTTCTAGTAGTTGCACCTCTGCTATCCTACTCCCTATCATGAATTTGATTTAAGACATGCGCTCTTGCTCAATAATAAAGCTGCTCGTGTACTATTTTCTCTGGCAACCTTTCTTTAATAAATATATCACAATTCTGATTGTATCTTCTGAGACTTTAGCTGTTGATGAATATTATTATTGGTTTTAGATTATTGAAAACGAGAATGGCGTCCAGAATCTTTTCACAGAAGCCGACCTTCTACCAAGCCTGCTCACGCTGTATTTCGCCGGCTCGGATACCGTATATCTAACGCTTTCCTGGGGAATGCTCTTCCTTCTCCACCACCCCGCCGTCTGCAAGAGAATACAAGACGAACTGGATCGAGAAGTAGGGAAATCCCGGCGTCCAACGCTTGCTGATAGACAAAATCTTCCATACACCAACGCCGCTTTGATGGAGGTACAACGCCTAAATTTCATTGCCCCGATTTCGGGCCCGCACAAAGCACTGAGGACGGTCAATTTTCGGGGATACACCATCCCCGAAGGAACGACCGTCTTGGCCAATCAGTGGTCAATTATGATGGACGAGGAGAAATGGCCGAATCCTCAGCAGTTCGACCCATCGAGGTTTTTGGACGAGTTTGGGAACGTCAAGAAAAACGTAGCCTGGATTCCGTTTTCTGTGGGTAAGATGGCGTCGTTTTTTAATGCTGATTTTAAAATATCCTCTTCAGATTTTAAGTCACTGGTAACTTATCTTTTGTAATTGAAAAATTTTCATTACCAGTTTAAAAGCTCACTGCTTTTATCTTTTTTTACTACTCAACCAGCTAATGAACTTCTTAATTTTCTTACAAGCAAATGTAAACATTTAACTTTTAGATGAATAAAATGAATTTTTAAAAAAGCCTTTATCTAACCGCAGCATCTGTTTTCATCTTTTTTTAATCACATAAGGCAAAGCAATCTCCGTTTTATATGTACAATGGTTGAATAAAGTTTAATAACGACCGAAACAGAAATCTTTGAGAATGTTTGTAGAGTGCTCACTTATGCAACCCTCACCTCACCCCAGGGGAAAAGAAACGCATAGATTTAGCGTTTTCTTTTCTCGGTAATACGGTTCTATCGCCAGGTCTTCAAGAACAATATTTTTTTGTGTCTAATCCAGAGCTCCATTTCGATTTATCTAATTATTGTTTTTTTTATGTCCACCTGCCTTATGCCACCCTTACCTCACCCCAGGGTACTAAAAGAAACGCATAGAAAACTTATTTCTTTTCCCGGTAGTGCGTTTCTATCGCAAAGTCTTCAAGAACAATATTTTTTTGCGTCTAATCCAGAGCTCCCAATCGATTAAGCTAATGTTTTGTTTATTTTTTTTTTTTTTTTTTTTTTTTTTTTTTTTTTTTTTTTTCACCAGGAAAGCGCTCTTGTCCCGGCGAAGTTCTGGCCAGACAAGAAATATTCCTTGTGCTAACGGCCTTGTTGCAGGCGTTTTCATTTCGGTCACCAGATGGCGAAGCTTTACCGGAATGCGTTGGCAAGACAGGCTCACTTTACGTCTGTCCCGATTTTAACGTCTGCGCCGTACCAAGATTTTAATGGAACAGCCTGTGCTGCCTATGGAATGTCTTGCGACTAACCTTGCAAGCTGAACCAAGTTCATTTTGTTTGTCATTTTTCGCTTAATACGTGTCCTTATTACTATTATCCGAAGTACATGTAGAAGCAACTAAATTGATTTAAATTCCCTTTGTAATATTTCCTTTATTTCATTCTTTTGACCCATTTTTTTTTTCAAAAGACATTACATATCGGGACACATTAATATCAAAATCAGCGAAACACCCATTCTCCTTCCGAGATAAATAAGCATTTTTCCATCACTGTGCCTTAATAACGTATTAAAAAAAATACCCTCTTCTGTTGTTGGAGGACATCATACACTGATCACTGACTGATCACGGAATTTTGATCAAGTTTCGAACAGAACAGGTGAAAGCTCCTTTGAGATGAAAAAAGTGTAAAAACGTGTAGGGAGAAATCACTCTTAGAAGTTACCCATCAAAATACAAATATGCTACAGATAAAACCAGGAGGTTGTTATTTCAGCCCTTTTTACTTTGCTTCATGGGCCAGAATCCTAGAATCCGGCGCCGAAAGTACCCTCTGCCAGGGCCGCAGTTATTATTCTGTGAACATTTTTTGCTGAGGCAGTCCAGAGATTAGCCATCTATTTAACCAGAGACATAGGCCCTATCTGTTAATATCTAGTGAAAAATTAATCTATGGCCCTGGTACGTTAGCGTAGGCCTAAAACGCACTGAAATGAATGAAACTGGAATGCATTATACAAGAAAATATTATTATTATTATTATTATTATTATTATTAAAGCCAGATATTTCAGATAAAAAATTAACCTTGGCGATGGCGCAGCCGATTGCGTCTCAGATCACAACAAACGCACGCGTTAGATACGCCAATAGAGGAATAAACAACCCAAAACTTGATGTTGGCTCAACGAATTAATGACTTGGTTAGGTTGTTACATGGATAGGTCAGAGGTCAGAAGTCAGGACAGTAACAGTAGGAGTACGCGGTTCCTATGGGCCATGGTACGAAAGGCAACAACTTTGACGGTTTTTGCTTGTTCTTTTCAATATTCCAAGGTATGGTTTGTGGCACTAATTATGTCATTCTTAAGGACTACTAATACGCAAAGCATTGTACCTCTAGTAGACACTAGCCACTTTCAATATGTTTCTGCCTGCACGGTGTCTACTATTCTTTACCCCTATAAAAACCAACAAAATCAACATGGTTATTTCAACGACATTCTGATAACGAGCAAGATCCAGGTGAATGTTTTCTCATTAACGAGCTCTTAAACTGAATTAGTCGATTTACGGACTTTCTCTATTTCGAATTTGAGATTGTTTTTCAGAAGAAAAAAAAGCCCTGTTGTAACATGCCATAAGGAACGCTGCGTTTATAGAAACAAAAACTCTGGAGGTTAAAAAAATGCATTGAAGTATTATATGGTTATCGAGCGACAACTGCAGGCAGTGTTAAACAGAAAAAATATTAGACTAGATCTGTGAGTATAGATAACGCCTCTGATCTCACAGCATTTCGTCTGTAATATGGCGGCGATAGAATGGGTTTTACGGGAGATCTTAACATCTCCCACAACTTTATTTATTATCGTGGTAGCTACGATCCTTTTTCACGTATTTCTCAAAGTGGCCAAGTTTGGCCAGAATTTCCCGTCTGGTCCATGGGGACTGCCTTTTGTCGGTGTGTTGCCGTTCCTCGGTGAACATCCAGAGATCACCATGATGGAATGGGCGAAAAAGTACGGCAAGGTGTTCAGCGTCCGAATGGGTCCTGAAACCGTCATTTTGCTGCAAGGCTACGAAGCGGTCAGGGACGCCTTTTCCAGGAAATCGTCGATTTTTTCAGGAAGGCCCCATGTTCCAACTTTTGATTTCATGAATGATAGAGGTAAAACAAGTCTTTCACTTTTTATTTATTTATTTATTTATTTATTTATTTATTTATTTATCTGTACATCATGCAGCATGCCAGGTCTCCCATATAGACAGTTAGAATGCATGGCCTCTACCAGTTATATGACCTTATTGTAAATTACTGTTTGAAAATACTATTTATCTTGCTATAAATGATGATTTTCGTTTATTCATATCATAAAACACGAAAAAACGTCATTATTGTTTTGTCTAAGAACCAGATTTAGATATTTGCGACAACTATTTCAATAGCTTAAAAATATTCATATTCATTCATAGAATAAAAACATATTTCCTCCGTTTTAAGGTCTTTTAGTTCTGGAATACGGATCTGCCTTCACGGCACAAAAAAATTTCACAATGCAATACATCGCCCACGCCAACAATGAGAAACACGTAAATGGCGAGGTGGACGCCCTCTTGCGGTACATTCGAGAACAACGCGGTAAGCCGTTCCAGTTCAACTTCCCGATGAAGGCAACCACCTCTAACGTCATAACCACCGTCCTGTTTGGAAGTCGCCAAGAATACGACGATCCCGTCTTTAAGCGTCTCCTGCAAGTCTTCCAAAAAGCGATGTTACTGAGCGGCCAGCTAAGCATTAGGCAATTTCTACCTTTTTTAACTTTCATCTCCTCAGTTGATGAAAGAAAACGCGCATGGGGGGAGTTTTCGGACATCCTCAATGACATGTTGGTTGAGCACAGAGCCACTTACAGAGAGGGGACCACTAGAGGCCTTATTGATGCTTTCATTCACAAGGTAGATTTAAAAAAAAAAGAAAAAGAAAAAAGAAAAAACTTCATATATCCATTCGATTTGCATTGCGCAGGGAACTTTCCATGCAACTTTTCTTGTAGTTGCACCTCTGCTATCATACTCCCTGTCATGAATTTGATTTTAGAAATGCTCTCTTGCTCAATAATAAAGCTGCTCGTTTATCGTTTTCTCTGGCAATCTTTCTTTATTAAATATGTCTCCTTTCTGAATACATCTCTTGAGACTGATGAATATTATTACTGTTTTTAGATTATTGAAAACGAGAATGGCGGCCAGAATGTTTTCACAGAAGCCGATCTACCAAGCCTGCTCACGCTGTATTTCACCGGCTCTGACACCGTATCTCTGACTCTTTCCTGGGGAATGCTCTTCCTTCTCCACCACCCCGCCGTCTGTAAGAGAATACAAGACGAATTGGATCGAGAAGTAGGGAAATCCCGGCGTCCAACGCTTGCTGATAAACAACGTCTTCCCTATACGACCGCCGCTTTGATGGAGGTGCAGCGCCTTAATTTCATTGCCCCGATTTCGGGTCCGCACAAAGTACTGAGGACGGTCAATTTTCGGGGATACACCATCCCCGAAGGAACGACCGTCTTTGCCAACCAGTGGTCAATTATGATGGACGAGGAGAAATGGCCGAATCCTCAGCAGTTCGACCCATCGAGGTTTTTGGACGGGTTTGGGAACGTCAAGAAAAACGTAGCCTGGATTCCGTTTTCTGTGGGTAAGATGGCGTGGTTTTTTAATGCTGATTTTAAAATATTCTTTTTCTAATTTTTTATTCATGGTTACCTATCTTTTGTAATTGATAAATTTTCATTACCAGCTTAAAAAGTCACCGCTTTTATCTTTTGTTTTTACTACACACCGTGCTAATGAACTTTTAACTTTTAAAGGAACTAAATGATTTTAAAAAAGCCTTTATCTAACCGCAGCATCTGTTATTAATATTAAAACTTATTTTACATATTATTCTCAACTTTTCTTTTTTTATTTTCCCCAGTATTATTTAATTTTATTTCATCTTTTTTTTAAAACACATAAGGCAAAACAATCTCCTTTTTATAACATATGTACAATGGTTGAATAATATTGAATAAAGTTTAATACTACCTTCAACGACCAAAACAAAAATCTTTGAGAATATTTGTAGTATACTTAATTATGCCACCCTCACCCCACCCCAGGGTGCTAAAAGAAACGCATGCAAAGCGTTTTACTTTTCCCGGTAGTTCGGTTCTACAATCTTCAAGAACGATATTTTTCGTCTACCAGAGCTCCATTTCGATTTATCTAAACGTTTTTTTTTTCCACCAGGAAAGCGCTCTTGTCCAGGCGAAGTGCTGGCCAGACAAGAAATATTCCTTGTGCTAACGGCCTTGTTGCAGGCGTTCTCGTTTCGGTCATCAGATAGCGAAGCTTTACCAGAATGCGTCGGCAAAACAGGCTCACTTTACGTCTGTCCCGATTTTCACGTCTGCGCCGTGCCAAGATTTTAATGGAACTGCCCAAACAGCCGATGGAATGCCTCGTGACTAACCTTGCAAAGCAGAACCAACTTCATTTTGTTGTTGTATTTGGCTTTATGAATGTCCTTATTACTAACATCAGAAGTACGTGTAGAAGCAACTAAAGTCTGTTGAAACTCCTTGAAGCAACTAAATTGGGCCACTTTATATATTTTTTTACTTCTCACCCCAACCCCTTAACCAGTTGAGGCAGATTGTTTAAATCCATCTTCGGCTTAAAGTATGCTTTTTTATTTTGGTAATTAGAGATTCAGTCCTCTGATAAAATGTTCAATGTCCTCTTCATTATATGCTTGTATGCTTCTTGTTAATCTTGTTAATAAAATACCATTTTGAAAGTTGTGAGAGATGTAGATTATAAAAAAATGTGACGTGTTTTCTATATCCAACTAATTAGTGAATAAATTGAAAGAAGGAAAAAGAAATTGTTGACTATCAGGCCCGCACCCAGGCATTTCAAAGTGTTCTTGCATCGATCTTGTTGATATAGGTTCTATGCAGTAGTTGCCGACATGTGGTTACTTTTTTGACAGAACCATGCTTCAACAAAGCCAAGCTTTGACCAGCCCGAAGGAGCACTACTGCATATTACACAATGCAGCAGTGCAACAGACATATTAGTCAGTTAATTGGTAGCGACACACCTGACTACACACTTCTCCAATCAAAAATGAGATCTGTGTTTTTTTTTTTTTTTTTTTTAAGAATGCATTTTTACCTAGGAATACCTTTGAAACTGAAATATTCCAAAATTTAAAAAATGTCAAGTCTGTAAGTTTACGGCTTTCAGTTGATATTTTCCGATTCTTAATGAATGGTTTAATTCGGTAAACAGCGAAGATAAACTAACATCACGCCAGACCTCTTGACCTGCTGCCCTGACGAAGAAGAGGTTAGCTTATCGCTAGATAGCAGTCGAAAGAGGGATTAACTACTTCCCAGGGTCGGATGACACTTTCTCAGTGACATGGCAATGATCGAATGGATTCTACGGGAGATCTTAACATCTCCCACAGCTTTATGTATTATCTTGGGAACAGCGCTCATTTTTCACCTGTTCCTAAGAGAAGGCAAGTATGGCCAGAATTTCCCGTCTGGGCCATGGGGACTGCCTTTTGTCGGAGTGTTGCCCTTTCTCGGTGAACATCCACAGATCACCATGATGGAATGGGCGAAAAAGTACGGCAAGGTGTTCAGCGTCCGAATGGGTCCTGAAACCGTCATTTTGCTGCAAGGCTACGAAGCAGTCAGGGACGCTTTTTCCCGGAAATCGGCGATTTTTTCAGGAAGGCCCCATGTTCCAACTTTTGATTTCATGAATGATAGAGGTAAAGCAGGTCTTTCACTATTTATTTATTTATTTACTTATTTATTTATTTATTTTTTATGTGTGTACATCATACAGGTCTCCCCTATAGACAGTTAGAATGCATATGTCCCTCTATCAATAATATGACCGTACTGAAAATTACTATTTGAAAATACCATTTACCTTGGTATAAATGATATAATTTCCGTTTATTCATATCATAAAATGCAAAAAAAAAAAAAAAAAAAAAAAACTGAGTCGTTACTGTCTAGTCTTAATACCAGATTTAGATATTTGCGACAACTTTATCAATAGTTTAATAATATTCATATTCATTCATAGAATAAAAACATATTTCTTCTGTTTTTAGGTCTTTTAGTTCTGGAATACGGATCTGCCTTCACGGCACAAAAAAATTTCACCATGCAATACATCGCCCATGCCAACAATGAGAAACACGTAAATGGCGAGGTGGACGCCCTCTTGCGGTACATTCGAGAGCAACGTGGTGAGCCTTTCCAGTTCAACTTCCCGATGAAGGCGACCACCTCTAATGTTATCGGCACCGTCCTATTTGGAAGTCGCCAAGAATACGACGATCCCGTCTTTAAGCGTCTCCTGCAAGTCTTCCAAAAAGCGATGTTATTGAGCGGCCAGCTAAGCATCAGGCAATTTCTACCTTTTTTATCCTTTATTCCCTCAGTTGACGAAAGAAAAGTCGCATGGGGTGAGTTTTCAGACATCCTCAACGAAATGTTGGTTGAACACAAGACTACTTACAGGAAAGATAGAACTAGAGGCCTTATAGATGCGTTCGTTCATAAGGTAGGTATAATATCTTTCAGTAAACATATCTGCGGATTTTTAAATTAAAGTTTCTTTCACCTTTCCTGGAATGGAAACTGTACCTCTGGTATCTTGATATCTCTTGGATGTAATTCTGATTCAAATGTAATTAAAAAATACAAAGCCTTATAATTTTTTTTTCGTCATAAAGTTGTTGGTGTATTTGTTTTCTATCGAGCTGTATTAATTTTTTAACGTTTGTCATAGATAAAAACCATTACTGGTTTTAGATCACTGAGAAGGAGAATGGCGGCCAGAATCTTTTCACAGAAGCCGACCTTCTACCAAGCCTGCTCACGCTGTATTTCACCGGCTCGGATACCGTATCTCTGACTCTTTCCTGGGGAATGCTCTTCCTTCTCCACCACCCCGCCGTCTGCAAGAGAATACAAGACGAACTGGATCGAGAAGTAGGGAAATCCCGGCGTCCAACGCTTGTTGATAGACAAAATCTTCCATACACCACCGCCGCTTTGATGGAGGTACAACGCCTAAATTTCATTGCCCCGATTTCGGGTCCGCACAAAGTGCGGAGAACGGTAAATTTTCGGGGATACACTATCCCCGAAGGAACGACCGTCTTGGCTAACCAGTGGTCAATTATGATGGACGAGGAGAAATGGCCGAATCCTCAGCAGTTCGACCCATCGAGGTTTTTGGATGAGTTTGGGAACGTCAAGAAAAACGTAGCCTGGATTCCGTTTTCTGTGGGTAAGATGGCGTCGTTTTTTAATGCTGATTTTAAAATATTCTTTTCTAATTTTTTTAGTCATGGTTACCTGTCTTTTGTAATTGATAAATTTTCATTACCAGTTTAAAAGCTCACTGCTTTTATCTTTTTTTACTACTTAACCAGCTAATGAACTTCTTAATTTTCTTACAAGCAAATGTAAACTTTTAACTTTTAGAGGAAATAAATGAATTTTTAAAAAGCCTTTATCTAATCGCAGCATCTGTTTTTAATATTAACACCAATTTTACATATTCATCTCAACTTTTCTTTTTTACTTTTCCCGGTCTTATTTAATTTTATTTCATCTTTTTAAAACCACATAAGGCAAAGCAATCTCCGTTTTATATGTACAATGGTTGAATAAAGTTTAATACAACCTTAAACGACCGAAACAAAAATCTTTGAGAACATTTGTAGTGCGCTCACTTATGCCACCCTCACCTCACCCCAGGGGAAAAGAAACGCATAGATTTAGCGATTTCTTTTCTCGGTAATTCGGTTCTATCGCAAAGTCTTCAAGAACAATATTTTTTGTGTGTCTAATCCAGACCTCCATTTCGATTTATCTAATTATTATTATTATTTTTTTTTTTATCCACCAGGAAAGCGCTCTTGTCCAGGCGAAGTGCTGGCCAGACAAGAAATATTCCTTATGCTAACGGCCTTGTTGCAGGCGTTTTCATTTCGGTCACCAGATGGCGAAGCTTTACCGGAATGCGTTGGCAAGACAGGCTCACTTTACGTCTGTCCAGATTTTAACGTCTGTGCCGTACCAAGATTTTAATGGAACAGCCTGTGCTGCCTATAGAATGTCTTGTGACTAACCTTGCAAGCTGAACCAAGTTCATTTTGTATGTTTTTTTTTTTTGCTTAATACGTGTCCTTATTATTATTATCCGAAGTATATGTAGAAGCAACTAAATTGATTTAAATTCCCTTTGTAATTTTTCATTTATTTCATTCTTTTGGCCCATTTTTTCAACAGACATTACATATCGGGACACATTAATATCAAAATCAGCGAAACACCCATTCTCCCTCCCAGATAACATAAGCATTTTTCCATCACTGTGCCTTAATAACGTATTTAAAAAAGCATGGCCTCTTCTGTTGTTTGAGGACATCATACACTGATCACTGACTGATCACGGAATTTTGATCAAGTTTCGAACAGAACAGGTGAAAGCTCCTTTGAGTTGAAAAAAAGTGTAAAAACGTGTAAGGAGAAATCACTCTTAGAAGTTACCCATCAAAATACAAATATACTACAGATAAAACCAGGAGGTTGTTATTTTGGCCCTTTTTACTTTGCTTTATGGGCCAGAATCCTGGCATCCGGCGCCGAAAGTACCCTCTACCAGGGCCGCAGTTATTATTCTGTGAACATTTTTTGCTGAGGCAGTCCAGAGATTAGCCATCTATTTAACCAGAGACATATCTGTTAATATCTAGTAAAAAATTAATCTATGGCCCTGGTAGAGGGTACGCCGTACGTTAGCGTAGGCCTAAATCGCACTGAAATGAATGAAACTGAAATGCATTATACAAGAAAATATTATTATTATTATTATTATTATTATTATTATTATTATTATTAAAGCCAGATATTTCAGATAAAAAATTAACCTTGGCGATGGCGCAGCCGATTGCGTCTCAGATCACAACAAACGCACGCGTTAGATACGCCAATACAGGAATAAACAACCCAAAACTTGATGTTGGCGCAACGAATTAATGACTTGGTTAGGTTGTTACATGGATAGGTCAGAGGTCAGAAGTTAGGACAGTAACAGTAGGAGTAAAAAAAAAGAGTACGCGGTTCCTATGGGCCATGGTACGAAAGGGCCCCCGACCTCAACAACTTTGACGGTTTTTGCTTGTTCTTTTCAATATTCCAAGGTATGGTTTGTGGCACTAATTATGTCATTCTTAAGGACTACTAATACGCAAAGCATTGTACCTCTAGTAGAGACTAGCCACTTTCAATATGTTTCTGCCTGCACGGTGTCTACGATTCTTTACCCCTATAAAAACCAACAAAATCAACATGGTTATTTCAACGACATGCTGATAACGAGCAAGATCCAGGTGAATGTTTTCTCATTAAACTGAATTAGTTGATTTACGGACTTTCTCTATTTCGAATTTGCGATTGTTTTTCAGAAGAAAAAAAAGCCCTGTTGTAACATGCCATAAGGAACGCTGCGTTTATAGAAACAAAAACTCTGGAGGTTCAAAAAATGCATTTATGTATTATATGGTTATCGAGCGACAACTGCAGGCAGTGTTAAACAGAAAAAAAAATTAGACTAGATATGTGAGTATAGATAACGCCTCTGATCTCACAGCATTTCGTCTGTAATATGGCGGCGATAGAATGGGTTTTACGGGAGATCTTAACATCTCCCACAACTTTATTTATTATCGTGGTAGCTACGATCCTTTTTCAAGTATTTCTCAAAGAGGCCAAGTATGGTCAGAATTTCCCGTCTGGTCCATGGGGACTGCCTTTTGTCGGTGTGTTGCCGTTTCTCGGCGAACATCCCGAAATAACCATGATGGAATGGGCGAAGAAGTACGGCAAGGTGTTCAGCGTCCGAATGGGTCCTGAAACCGTCATTTTGCTGCAAGGCTACGAAGCGGTCAGGGACGCCTTTTCCAGGAAATCGTCGATTTTTTCAGGAAGGCCCCATGTTCCAACTTTTGATTTCATGAATGATAGAGGTAAAACAAGTCTTTCACTTTTTATTTATTTATTTATTTATTTATTTATCTGTACATCATGCAGCATGCCAGGTCTCCCCTATAGACAGTTAGAATGCATGGCCTCTACCAGTTATATGACCTTATTGTAAATTACTGTTTGAAAATACTATTTATCTTGCTATAAATGATGATTTTCGTTTATTCATATCATAAAACACGAAAAAACGAGTCATTGCTGTTTTGTCTGAGAACCAGATTTAGATATTTGCGACAACTATTTCAATAGCTTAAAAATATTCATATTCATTTATAGAATAAAAACATATTTCCTCCGTTTTTAGGTCTTTTAGTTCTGGAATACGGACCTGCCTTCACGGCACAAAAAAATTTCACAATGCAATACATCGCCCATGCCAACAATGAGAAACACGTAAATGGCGAGGTGGACGCCCTCTTGCGGTACATTCGAGAACAACACGGTAAGCCGTTCCAGTTCAACTTCCCGATGAAGGCAACCACCTCTAACGTCATAACCACCGTACTGTTTGGAAGTCGCCAAGAATACGACGATCCAGTTTTTAAACGTCTCCTGCAAGTCTTCCAAAAAGCAATGTTATTGAGCGGCCAGCTAAGCATCAGGCAATTTCTACCTTTTTTAACTTTCATCCCCTCAGTTGATGAAAGAAAACGCGCATGGGGGGAGTTTTCGGACATCCTCAATGACATGTTGGTTGAGCACAGAGCCACTAACAGAGAGGGGACAACTAGGGGCCTTATTGATGCGTTCATTCACAAGGTAGATTAAAAAAAAAAGAAAAAAGAAAAAACTTCATATATCCATTCGATTTGCATTGCGTAGGGAACTTTCCATACAACTTTTCTTGTAGTTGCACCTCTGCTATCGTACTCCCTGTCATGAATTTGATTTCAGAAATGCGCTCTTGCTCAACAATAAAGCTGCTCGTTTATCGTTTTCTCTGGCAATCTTGCTTTATTAAATATGTCTCCTTTCTGAATATATCTCTTGAGACTGATGAATATTATTATTGGTTGTAGATAAATGAAAACGAGAATGGCGGCCAGAATCTTTTCACAGAGGCCGATCTTCTACCAAGCCTGCTCACGCTGTATTTCACCGGCTCGGATACCGTATCTCTGACTCTTTCCTGGGGAATGCTCTTCCTTCTTCACCACCCCGCCGTCTGCAAGAGAATACAAGACGAATTGGATCGAGAAGTAGGGAAATCCCGGCGTCCAACGCTTGTTGATAGACAAAATCTTCCATACACCAACGCCGCTTTGATGGAGGTACAACGCCTTAATTTCATTGCCCCGATTTCGGGCCCGCACAAAGCACTGAGGACGGTCAATTTTCGGGGATACACCATCCCCGAAGGAACGACCGTCTTTGCCAACCAGTGGTCAATTATGATGGACGAGGAGAAATGGCCGAATCCTCAGCAGTTCGACCCATCGAGGTTTTTGGACGAGTTTGGGAACGTCAAGAAAAACGTAGCCTGGATTCCGTTTTCTGTGGGTAAGATGGCGTGGTTTTTTAATGCTGATTTTAAAATATTCTTTTCTAATTTTTTATTCATGGTTACCTATCTTTTGTAATTGATAAATTTTCATTACCAGCTTAAAAAGTCACCGCTTTTATCTTTTGTTTTTACTACACACCGTGCTAATGAACTTTTAACTTTTAAAGGAACTAAATGATTTTAAAAAAGCCTTTATCTAACCGCAGCATCTGTTATTAATATTAAAACTTATTTTACATATTATTCTCAACTTTTCTTTTTTTATTTTCCCCAGTATTATTTAATTTTATTTCATCTTTTTTTTAAAACACATAAGGCAAAACAATCTCCTTTTTATAACATATGTACAATGGTTGAATAATATTGAATAAAGTTTAATACTACCTTCAACGACCAAAACAAAAATCTTTGAGAATATTTGTAGTATACTTAATTATGCCACCCTCACCCCACCCCAGGGTGCTAAAAGAAACGCATGCAAAGCGTTTTTCTTTTCCCGGTAGTTCGGTTCTACAATCTTCAAGAACGATATTTTTCGTCTACCAGAGCTCCATTTCGATTTATCTAATCGTTTTTTTTCCACCAGGAAAGCGCTCTTGTCCCGGCGAAGTGCTGGCCAGACAAGAAATATTCCTTGTGCTAACGGCCTTGTTGCAGGCGTTCTCGTTTCGGTCATCAGATAGCGAAGTTTTACCAGAATGCGTCGGCAAAACAGGCTCACTTTACGTCTGTCCCGATTTTCACGTCTGCGCCGTGCCAAGATTTTAATGGAACTGCCCAAACAGCCGATGGAATGCCTCGTGACTAACCTTGCAAGCAGAACCAACTTCATTTTGTTGTTATATTTGGCTTCATGAATGTCCTTATTACTAACATCAGAAGCACGTGTAGAAGCAACTTAGGTCTGTTGAAACTCCTTGAAGCAACTAAATTGGCCCACTTTATATATTTTTTTTACTTCTCACCGCAACCCCTTAACCAGTCGAGGCAGATTGTTTAAATCCATCTTCGGCTTAAAGTATGCTTTTTTTATTTTGGTTATTAGAGATTCAGTCTTCTGATAAAATGTTCAATGTCCTCTTCATTATATGCTTGTATGCTTCTTGTTGATCTTGTTAATAAAATACCATTTTGAAACTTGTGAGAGATGTAGATTATAAAAATGCGACGTGTTTTCTATATCCAACTAATTAGTGAATAAATTGAAAGAAGGAAAAAGAAATTGTTGACTATCAGGCCCGCACCCAGGCATTTCAAAGTGTTCTTGCATCGATCTTGTTGATATAGGTTCTATGCAGTAGTTGCCGACATGTGGTTACTTTTTTGACAGAACCATGCTTCAACAAAGCCAAGCTTTGACCAGCCCGAAGGAGCACTACTGTATATTACACAATGCAGCAGTGCAACAGACATATTAGTCAGTTAATTGGTAGCGACACACCTGACTACACACTTCTCCAGGCAGAAATGAGATCTTTTTTTTTTTTTTTTAAGAATGCATTTTAACCTAGGCATACCTTTGAAACTGAAATATTCCAAAATTTAAAAAATGTCAAGTCTCTAAGTTTACGGCTTTCAGTTGATATTTTCCGATTCTTAATGAATGGTTTAATTCGGTAAACAGCGAAGATAAACTAACATCACGCCAGACCTCTTGACCTGCTACCCTGACGAAGAAGAGGTTAGCTTATCGCTAGATAGCAGTCGAAAGAGGGATTAACTACTTCCCAGGGTCGGATGACACTTTCTCAGTGACATGGCAATGATCGAATGGATTCTACGGGAGATCTTAACATCTCCCACAGCTTTATGTATTATCTTGGGAACAGCGTTCATTTTTCACCTGTTCCTAAGAGAAGGCAAGTATGGTCAGAATTTCCCGTCTGGTCCATGGGGTTTGCCTTTTGTCGGAGTGTTGCCGTTCCTCGGTGAACATCCAGAGATCACCATGATGGAATGGGCGAAGAAGTACGGCAAGGTGTTCAGCGTCCGAATGGGTCCTGAAACCGTCATTTTGCTGCAAGGCTACGAAGCAGTCAGGGACGCTTTTTCCAGGAAATCGGCGATTTTTTCTGGAAGGCCCCATGTTCCAACTTTTGATTTCATGAATGATAGAGGTAAAGCAAGTCTTTCACTATTTATTTATTTATTAATTTATTTATTTATTTTTTATGTCTGTACATCATACAGCATGCCAGGTCTCCCCTATAGACAGTTAGAATGCATATGTCCCTCTAACAATAATATGACCGTATTGAAAATTACTATTTGAAAATACCATTTACCTTGGTATAAATGATATAATTTTCGTTTATTCATATCATAAAACGCAAAGAAAACTGAGTCTTTACTGTCTAGTCTTAATACCAGATTTAGATATTTGCGACAACTTTTCCAAAAAGCGATGTTATTGAGCGGCCAGCTAAGCATCAGGCAATTTCTACCTTTTTTATCCTTTATTCCCTCAGTTGACGAAAGAAAAGTCGCATGGAGGGAGTTTTCAGAGATCCTCAACGAAATGTTGGTCGAACACAAGACTACTTACAGGAAAGATAGAACTAGAGGCCTTATAGATGCGTTCGTTCATAAGGTAGGTTAATATCTTTCAGTAAACATATCTGCGGATTTAATTTCTTTCACCTTTCCTGGAATGGATACTGTACCTCTGGTATCTTGATATCTCTTGGATGTAATTCTTATTCAAATGTAATTAAAAAATACAAAGCCTTATAATTTTTTTTCCGTCATAAAGTTGTTGGTGTATTTGTTTGCTATCGAGCTGTATTAATTTTTAGCGTTTGTCATAGATAAAAACCATTACTGGTTTTAGATTACTGAGAAGGAGAATGGCGGCCAGAATCTTTTCACAGAAGCCGATCTTCTACCAAGCCTGCTCACGCTGTATTTCACCGGCTCGGATACCGTATCTCTGACTCTTTCCTGGGGAATGCTCTTCCTTCTCCACCACCCCGCCGTCTGCAAGAGAATACAAGACGAATTGGATCGAGAAGTAGGGAAATTCAGGCGTCCAACGCTTGCTGATAAACAACGTCTTCCCTATACGACCGCCGCTTTGATGGAGGTGCAGCGCCTGAATTTCATTGCCCCGATTTCGGTTCCGCACAAGGCACTGAGGACGGTAAATTTTCGGGGATACACCATTCCCGAAGGAACTACCGTCTTAGCCAACCAGTGGTCCATTATGATGGACGAGGAGAAATGGCCGAATCCTCAGCAGTTCGACCCATCGAGGTTTTTGGACGAGTTTGGGAACGTCAAGAAAAACGTAGCCTGGATTCCGTTTTCTGTGGGTAAGATGGCGTGGTTTTTTAATGCTGATTTTAAAATATTCTTTTCTAATTTTTAGTCATGGTTACCTATCTTTTGTAATTGATAAATTTTCATTACCAGCTTAAAAAGTCAACGCTTTTATCTTTTGTTTTTACTACACACCGTGCTAATGAACTTTTAACTTGTAAAGGAACTAAATGATTTTAAAAAAGCCTTTATCTAACCGCAGCATCTGTTATTAATTTTAAAACTTATTTTACATATTACTCTCAACTCTTCTTTTTTTTATTTTCCCCAGTATTATTTAATTTTATTTCATCTTTTTTTTAAACCACATAAGACAAAACAATCTCCTTTTTATAATATATGTACATGTACAATGGTTGAATAATATTGAATAAAGTTTAATACTACCTTCAACGACCAAAACAAAAATCTTTGAGAATATTTGTAGTATACTTAATTATGCCACCCTCACCCCACCCCAGGGTGCTAAAAGAAACGCATACAAAGCGTTTTTCTTTTCCCGGTAGTTCGGTTCTACAATCTTCAAGAACGATATTTTTCGTCTACCAGAGCTCCATTTCGATTTATCTAATCTTTTTTTTTTTTTTTTACCAGGAAAGCGCTCTTGTCCAGGCGAAGTGCTGGCCAGACAAGAAATATTCCTTGTGCTAACGGCCTTGTTGCAGGCGTTCTCGTTTCGGTCATCAGATGGCGAAGCTTTACCAGAATGCGTCGGCAAAACAGGCTCACTTTACGTCTGTCCCGATTTTCACGTCTGCGCCGTGCCAAGATTTTAATGGAACTGCCCAAACAGCCGATGGAATGCCTCGTGACTAACCTTGCAAGCAGAACCAACTTCATTTTGTTGTTATATTTGGCTTCATGATTGTCCTTATTACTAACATCAGAAGCACGTGTAGAAGCAACTTAGGTCTGTTGAAACTCCTTGAAGCAACTAAATTGGCCCACTTTATATATTTTTTTACTTCTCACCCCAACCCCTTAACCAGTCGAGGCAGATTGTTTTAATCCATCTTCGGCTTAAAGTATGCTTTTTTATTTTGGTTATTAGAGATTCAGTCCTCTGATAAAATGTTCAATGTCCTCTTCATTATATGCTTGTATGCTTCTTGTCAATCTTGTTAATAAAATACCATTTTGAAAGTTGTGAGAGATGTAGATTATAAAAATGCGACGTGTTTTCTATATCCAACTAATTAGTGAATAAATTGAAAGAAGGAAAAAGAAATTGTTGACTATCAGGCCCGCACCCAGGCATTTCAAAGTGTTCTTGCATCGATCTTGTTGATATAGGTTCTATGCAGTAGTTGCCGACATGTGGTTACTTTTTTGACAGAACCATGCTTCAACAAAGCCAAGCTTTGACCAGCCCGAAGGAGCACTACTGCATATTACACAATGCAGAAGTGCAACAGACATGTTAGCCAGTTAATTGGTAGCGACACACCTGACTACACACTTCTCCAGTCAGAAATGAGATTTTTTTCTCTTTTTTTTTTAAGAAATCATTTTTACCTAGGCATACCTTTGAAACTGAAATATTCCAAAATTTAAAAAATGTCAAGTCTCTAAGTTTACGGCTTTCAGTTGATATTTTCCGATTCTTAATGATTGGTTTAATTCGGTAAACAGCGAAGATAAACTAACATCACGCCAGACCTCTTGACCTGCTACCCTGACGAAGAAGAGGTTAGCTTATCGCTAGATAGCAGTTGAAAGAGGGATTAACTACTTCCCAGGGTCGGATGACACTTTCTCAGTGACATGGCAATGATCGAATGGATTCTACGGGAGATCTTAACATCTCCCACAGCTTTATGTATTATCTTGGGAACAGCGCTCATTTTTCACCTGTTCCTAAAAGAAGGCAAGTATGGTCAGAATTTCCCGTCTGGTCCATGGGGATTGCCTTTTGTCGGAGTGTTGCCGTTCCTCGGTGAACATCCAGAGATCACCATGATGGAATGGGCGAAGAAGTACGGCAAGGTGTTCAGCGTCCGAATGGGTCCTGAAACCGTCATTTTGCTGCAAGGCTACGAAGCTGTCAGGGACGCTTTTTCCAGGAAATCGGCGATTTTTTCTGGAAGGCCCCATGTTCCAACGTTTGATTTCATGAATGATAGAGGTAAAGCAAGCCTTTCACTATTTATTTATTTATTTATTTATTTATTTATTTTTAATGTCTGTTCATCATACAGCATGCCAGGTCTCCCCTATAGACAGTTAGAATGCATATGTCCCTCTAACAATAATATGACCGTATTGAAAATTACTATTTGAAAATACCATTTACCTTGGTATAAATGATATAATTTTCGTTTATTCATATCATAAAACGCAAAGAAAACTGAGTCTTTACTGTCTAGTCTTAATACCAGATTTAGATATTTGCGACAACTTTATCAATAGTTTAAAATATTCCTATTCATTCATAGAATAAAAACATATTTCTTCTGTTTTAAGGTCTTTTAGTTCTGGAATACGGATCTGCCTTCACGGCACAAAAAAATTTCACCATGCAATACATTGCCCATGCCAACAATGAGAAACACGTAAATAGTGAGGTTGACGCCCTCTTGGGGTATATTCGAGAACAACGCGGTAAGCCGTTCCAGTTCAACTTCCCGATGAAGGCGACCACCTCTAATGTTATCGGCACCGTCCTATTTGGAAGTCGCCAAGAATACGACGATCCCGTCTTTAAGCGTCTCCTGCAAGTCTTCCAAAAAGCGATGTTATTGAGCGGCCAGCTAAGCATCAGGCAATTTCTACATTTTTTATTCTTTATTCCCTCAGTTGACTAAAGAAAAGTCGCATGGAGGGAGTTTTCAGAGTTCCTCAACGAAATGTTGGTCGAACACAAGACTACTTACAGGAAAGATAGAACTAGAGGCCTTATAGATGCGTTCGTTCATAAGGTAGGTATAATATCTTTCAGTAAACATATCTGCGGATTTAATTTCTTTCACTTTTCCTGGAATGGATACTGTACCTCTGGTATCTTGATATCTCTTGGATGTAATTCTTATTCAAATGTAATTAAAAAATACAAAGCCTTATAATTTTTTTTCCGTCATAAAGTTGTTGGTGTATTTGTTTGCTATCGAGCTGTATTAATTTTTTAACGTTTGTCATAGATAAAAACCATTACTGGTTTTAGATCACTGAGAAGGAGAATGGCGTCCAGAATGTTTTCACAGAAGCCGACCTTCTACCAAGCCTGCTCACGCTGTAATTCACCGGCTCGGATACCGTATCTCTGACTCTTTCCTGGGGAATGCTCTTCCTTCTCCACCACCCCGCCGTCTGTAAGAGAATACAAGACGAACTGGATCGAGAAGTAGGGAAATTCAGGCGTCCAACGCTTGCTGATAAACAACGTCTTCCCTATACGACCGCCGCTTTGATGGAGGTGCAGCGCCTTAATTTCATTGCCCCGATTTCGGTTCCGCACAAGGCACTGAGGACGGTAAATTTTCGGGGATACACCATTCCCGAAGGAACTACCGTCTTAGCCAACCAGTGGTCCATTATGATGGACGAGGAGAAATGGCCGAATCCTCAGCAGTTCGACCCATCGAGATTTTTGGACGAGTTCGGGAACGTCAAGAAGAACGCAGCTTGGATCCCATTTTCTGTGGGTAAGATAGTATTAATAATTAATTTCATTGGGAAATCCCTCTCCCCTGCAGACCTTAATGTGGTAACTTATCTTGTGTTATGCATTTCTTTGCGTTCAGGGTAACAGGGACGAACACCTTGCAATTTTCATCACTTTCCATTACCATTTTTTTTCTTTTAGGTTTGTTTCTTTCAACACTGCTTTGAACATTTTTTTTAACTTCACAGAACAAGAAACAAAAATTTTAGTGCATCTGTACAGTGCCCCCCCCCCCTTGTTCCACCGCAAACACCACCACGGGGGGTGGAGGGGGGGAGAGAGAGAAAAGAGAGCGTTCTTCTTTCCATGTTAAAAAGTTGCATACACTGCAGAGTCGCCTGAAACAATATTTTTGGCATCTGTTCCAATTGACAGTTAACGATTTCTGTAATTATTTTATCTTCTTTTTCCACCAGGAAAGCGCTCCTGTGCCGGCGAGGTGTTAGCCAGGCAAGAAATATTCCTTGTGCTAACGGCCCTGCTGCAGGCGTTCTCATTTCGGCCACCAGATGGCGAAGCTTTACCGGAATGCGTTGGCAAGACAGGCTCACTTTACGTCTGTCCCGATTTTAACGTCTGCGCCGAACCAAGATTTTAAAGGAATTCCTGATGAGACTATTCTAACAAGTATTGCGAGTTAAGGAGACAATTCAGTTCGTTCGTCTTTACGTTATAAACAGAAGAACCTGGTCAAAATTACCTTTTTGGTACTTTTTTCAACCCATCATTTCAACTGATTTTATTATCACTGTGGTCAGCAGCAACCTATCATGAGAGAGGAAAAGAATGAAAAAGAGAGACATGTACAGTGATATATCTGTATCTCGATCACAAAGCTTTTATTTCAATGATAATCACAATTATTTGAATTTTAAATAAATCAATCTAATGATCATTCAATATACGTGCCAACAAAATGGATGGATAAATTTAACCAATCATGGGAATGGATATACTAATCATACAGCAAAATTAAGCAGTTATAGCATTCCAATTTCAATATTTTCCAAAAACTGCTCAATTTACATGGGTTGTCAGGAACATCTCTCCCCCTTCTCTCTAGTACAGGATATTTGGATGTGATAAAACCATAAAATTAAATTGGACACTAGCAGTAGAAAGTTTTTCTGAGCAAGACTGTCCTTTTTTTTCATTCAGCATGTTTGTCAAGTAAATTAACCTTGTTTGGTTTTATGTACGATGCCTTAAAAGAAGAACTAGTGAGTTACTTTTGCTAGGTTTGGCATTTTGGCAGTCTGAAAAATTGAGCATGTCAGTCAAGTAAATTAACCTTGTTTGGTTTGATGTATGACGACTGTACATCCAAGATCATATCTACCCCAAGTGGTGACCTGCAATAAAAAAATAATATTTTTTATGAAATATTTTAATAAATATACTTCTTACATTCATATGGCAATCTGGAGGTTAAAATCATTAACTGTCATCGTTTTTAAACTAATAAATTTTGCAACTGATTTCATTTCAATCTACCCCAATCAAATATGTTGTTCATAATTAATATACCTTATGTGGGTATACCTACTTTGGTTGAAAGCGGACCGATTCAAAGTCACTGACTACCCCTAGACCTCTGCTAAATTTTTCTACACCATTCCTAAAATATAAAGAGAAAGATTTAAAATCTTCATTCAAAAATTAAAGATAAAAGTTCAAATGAACAGTCATCAAAATGATCTTTGTATGTATGACTCTAGCAACACAATTATTGATAATGAATTTTGTTTTTTAGACACAGTGATACAGGATTAATGTTTAATGTTTCCAAAAATCAGAATGCAATTATTGAAGAACTTGTGTCCGTTTGTGTTTATATGTGTGATAGGGGCCATTCAGAATGAGAAGAGCCGAGTGCTAGCTGGTCCACCGCCCAAATATGGCAGACCTACATGAAAGGAAGACCGCTTAATCCTGTAATGGTCTCTCTGCCTCTCACATGCCTCCCCATGCGTTGTCCCTCGACTGGGCGCATTGAAACGAGATTTAATTACTGTGCCCCTGCAGGGACGACGCGTGGGGAGGCGTGAAAGAGGCAGAGAGATCATTACAGGATTAAGGGGTCTTCCTTTCATGTAGGTCTGCCACATTTAGGCCGTTGACCAGCTAGCACTAGGCTCTTCTCATTCTGAATGGCCCCTTAGTGAGCTAGTGAGTCAGAAGGAAGCAGAAAGAAAGAAGAAGATGAGGAAAATTACAGAGGGAGGGTCATTTATGTGTGCGTGTGTGTGTGTGTGTGTGTGTGTGAGAGAGAGAGAGAGAGAGAGAGCGAGTAGTGAGTAGTGAGTGAGTGACTAACCAAGCTATCATAACTCCATTATCTGTACACAGTCTAGGAGGTGGACACACCACATGACAGCTGTGCTGTCTGCATAGTTTAGAAAGACCCTGCCTGATAAACATGTTACTTGCTACACCTCCAGACAAGACCTTAAATATAAAAAAAATGGGCAATTAATTCTGTAAATAAATCATTCAACATTTTGTTTCTTTTAGAGCACAATAAGACTTTAATCTAAAAAATAATAATAAAATGATAAAATAAAATAATGAATAAGTTTAAAGATTTTGCATAAATGCAGAGACTGTAACAAAAATGAACTGATACATCTGAATAGTGAAGAATAATCTTTTACCCTAAAAATGAACATAGAGTGACAACTGCTGTAGTTAAACTTGCAATCCTGATAGAGGTATTTTGATAAAATGATTTGTAATTTAGTCTAACACGAAGCTAGCAATTTCTATACATACATTTCATTCTTACAAATGTGGCACAGCTAATGTACCTGAAAAATCAACTGAACATTTTTTTTTACATAAAATCTTGAATGCTTTAACTCATGTTCTTCCCTCAGAGTCACTCTCAATACATTAAAGAAGCAGAAAAAATAAAACTTTCCAGAAAAACGTACCAACATTTTATTTTCCACAGGCAACAAGGATTTAATTTCGCAATATAGCAGTGCCACCTGGAGGCGTTTTGCCAGTTGTCTGAGAACACAGTATTGAAAACTGGCGCACACATCGCTAACGTTTGGCAGAATGCTGCCATCTTTAATACCTAAAAGAGAGAAGGGAGAACCAAAATAAAATCTCTGTTTTGTGAGATGCTCCAATTTTAATACCTGCAAATGTCACTTACTTGATGGTGGCTGAACATAATTTAGCTTGAATAAGGAAAATACAAGGAAATCATTCCATGATTTTTTATACCAGCATATCATTTGACATATCACTTGACCATGTTTCATTTACTTTTGTCTTAATCATAATTCATAGCAAAAACAAATGTTTTCCCCCCCAAAAAAATTATTTTCTCTTCTGTCTCTTCTTTATTATGTTAACTGGCAGCTCATAAATCAGGACAACTTTCATCCATCTTTCTCAAATAGCTTCTCTTCAAATGTTCTTCAATTAAGTTACCAGGAAAAAAACAGCATAATTCTTAATTTTTCAAATATTTTAATCTGTTAAAACATTTGTCACTGCCTTTTTTTTAATCTTACCAAATTTTTCTTCTTCCATCTCTATGAGTCTCTCCACAAATGTTCTAATCCCAACAAAGGAGAAGTTGCAGTCTCGATGCTGTGTCCTGATATGTGGAAATTCGAAGGCAGTGGGGTCACCTTTCTGAGCCAATAATTCAACTGCTGCACCCCCGCTGAGACCATGACATTCTGGGACCAATTTTAAGTTCAACTTCCTGGCAACCTAATTAAGTTATTTTAATAATTATATAGCATTATAATATAATATATAATTATATAGCATTGTCAAAGTAATCAAGTATAGAGAGACAATGAAGTCCAGAAATAGCTTAATTAGACAGCAAAACTCACAAATGTACAGATGCATCAACAAATCTAGAGATCATTTGAGGGGAAAGCACAAATAGATTAAAACTGCATAAATCAGGGATGAGACTGCCATATTAGGGGAAAAAGTATAAAAAATATGGCATGGGGTCCAGGGGGGCCGCCTAGCCCAATAATTTTTTTTGCTCCCAAAAAAGAAATCCGCCGATAGTAGGAAAAATGTCATCCCTGCTAAATATGTACTCATATATATACCTTATCATAAACGTCTCCAGGTGCGTCATCTAGGGTTGTGCCTAAAAGTAAGAAGTCTTCTACATCTCTTACCACTGCCAGCAAGCAGTGGCCACCACTCAGTAAAAATACCAGGTATGGAAAGTCAACCCTAGAATGTCAATATAGAGCACATTCAGAACAGTGGACTAACAGATCCGTGGATCAAATATGGCAGCCCACTAAAAAGCTTGACACTTAATTTCCGATAAGACACTGACTAGACTCCCTGAGGAGATTACGCAACAAGCAGGTCAGAGGGTCAGCCATATTTGATTTGCGGATCTGTTAGTCCGCCGTTCTGAATGCACTCATACATGCAACACAATGTGAAGTACAATCAAGTTAAATTTCTTTTCTTCTTTTCAACAGACAACTGCCCCATTTACTCTGTTATATTACATACTAGCCAAAGGGTAAAATGAAAAAGCCAGTCTAAAAACTGACAGCAAGGTTTTTTTTTTTTTTTTTTTTCTTCTCCATAAAAATTTTATAACTAAGTTCAAATGCCTACTTTTCAATCAGGCGTACTGTAAGTGCATGGGCTTCCATATGGTGAATTGGAATAAATGGTTTTCTGGAAAATAAAATACACATTTGAAGCAATATTTAAAAGTGTGTGTGTGTGTGTGTGTGTGTGTGTGTGCGCGCGCACATGTACAGTTTACGTAATTTTCTTATCAATTTGGTGAAATAAAAAGCCATTTGACTTAAACATAAAATGTGTACGGGACAGCTGGCCTGGTTAGCTTTGACCACCACCTTGTTTACATTTATTTTTACAACAGGCAGATCATTATTATTACTTCCACAGAATATTTTACTAGATGAGCAGCTGCATGAAAAACAAGACAGCACTGTTCTGAAATGTTTTTTTTTTCCATTTTTAACAATTTTTTAAACATAAAACAAAATTAACAGGTTACTGACATTTTTATATGATCAACTAAAATAATTGATTAGATGGGAAAAATATCAATAGAGCAGTGTTAAATGTCCAATTTCTTCCATTCTGAGATTCTGAACATAGTGAATGATTGAATCTGACAAACTGCAATGATATGAGTTTATTTCCATTTTTGAAACTTTATTACACAATACACAATAACAAGTTTACCATCATTTTTACATAATCAACTAATAATGTTGTAAAGATGCAGGAAATGTCAACCAAACACTTTTACGTATCTTATTAGTTAAATAATGAGACTGTTAACATGCCTAAGAATTCAATCTGAGGAAATGTGAAAAAACCTTACCCAGACTCTCTTACAAGTTTCTTCCCATATTCCAGCCCTATCCTCAATGACAGCCCCATTCCTGGCTTCACAGTGGTTGCTATAGCATCAACATCCTACAATTGAAAGCATTGTATGGTGAAAAATTTAGTCGGTCTTGACAATTTTGTCAGAAGACAATTCACCACCTACATTTTTTTCCACTTTGAAAATTTCACCAAACTTGTAGAGAGATGCCTTTGAACCCTTCGTGCTTATTCACATTAAAATGTTCACACAAAACTTCAGCTTTTTTTTTCAGTTTATTGAATTCAAACATCAAAATAGATAAAAATTCTTATTTGTATATATAAAACAATTTGTAGTGACAATGATTCCATTAGCAAAACTCAGAACATAATTAGCTCCAAGGCCACATTGGGATTAGTACATTTTAGATATCTATACTATAAACTGCAGTATAAATCACACTGAAATAGAAGAAATTTACTACATGGTGACAGGTCATATTGTTAGCAAATACACCATTTTAAGTGCCGATTTTAATCAAAAGAACATTATATAGACGTCTATATAGAGATGGAAGAAGTTACCTTTATGGTCATATTTGCCTTCTCCAGAGCCTCAGTAACCACATCTTCTATATTTATTTTGTGGAGATCTTGAGCAACTGTTGGGATGATGCCACCATGCCTGTAATATTATATACCAGTTTTCAGAACGGACATCAAAATATTTATTTGAAGTTGATATACACAAATTGGAGAGAATATGTGATGTTTTTGAAGATATCATTTTGATGAAATGACTATCTTGATTTCTTTTTGCAGTGGGGAACTGGCTATTCATGAAACTGCATAAAATTTTGAAAACATTCTGATGCCCCTTCCCCCCCCCCCCCCCCCCCCCTCCATCCA